CTATGAGTTAGAACCAACTAGAAAGCACTTAACAACAACAACTGCTAAGTGCTGTGGTAAAAAAGACACCCCTAGAGGGGCTTACATGTTAGTGGAGTAAGGCAGACAATAAAATCAGATAACAAGTAAAGGAGACAGTTTTGGTGCTAGGAAGGAAAGAAATCGGGTGATATGATCTACAGAAATATATGAATTTTAGATAAAGCAGTCAGGGAGGGATCCTAAGAAGCTATTTTATCTGAATCCTAAAGAATGAGAAATGGTTAGCCATGCAACATGATGGGAAAGGATGCTCCAGGCAGAGGGAACACTCAGTGCAAAAGATCTGTGCTAAGAACGGTTGTTCCAACTTGTAGTGACCCTGCATAGAGCTCCGAGGAGCAGCTAGCTGGTAGGTTTGAACCACCAACCTTGTGGTTAGCAGTCCAGTGCTCATCACTGGCATATTTAAGGACCAGAAAAAAGCCTGGAGCACTGTAAGTGTGAAAAAGCAGGGCTTAGTCAGCTTTTAGGCTTGCTAATGGAGTAATTGTGGGAAATGAAGGAAAAGGGGACTCCTAAGTTTTTAGCTTGGAGTTGACTCAACAGAAACAAGGGAACCAGTTTATATTGAGTAAACACCAACTCTTGGTGACCCCTGTGCATCCGAGTAGAAATGGGCTCCAGAGGGGTTTCATTGGCTGATTTTTCTAAGTGGATCCTCAGGCTGTTCTTCCAAGGCATCTCTAGGGAGACTCAAACCTCAAAATTTCAGTTAGCAGCTGTGCTCCTTAATCATTTGCAACTGAAAGTGATGCAATCTACTGTATAAGGATGCCTGAGGGAGAAAGTGATGGGTTTGGGATGGGAGGAAGATCACTACAGTGAAGTCAAAGTGGCACTGGCTGTATAACTCTAGATGAAAGGAAAGGCTGGATTCTTCCAGCAGTAGAAGATGGGAAGCAATGAACGGGATGAGATCCCCAGGGAAATCAGTAAGCCAGCAGAACAGAATGGGTACTCCAGAACACTTCATTGTGCTCCAGAGGAACCTGAACATAGACCAAGAAGCAGTTGACAGAATAGAACAAGAGGATATTTAATGGTTTAAAATCAGGAAAGGTGTGTGTCTAGGTTGTATTCTTTCACCATACTTATTCAGTCTGTATGCTGAATAAACCAAGAAGCTGGATTATATGAAGAAGAAAGTGGCATCAGGATTGGAGGAAGGCTCGTTAACAACTTGTGATATGAAGATGATAAAACCTTGTTGATGGAAGTGAAGAAGACTTAAAATATTTAATGATGAAAATGAAAGACTACAGTCTTCAGCATGGATTATACCTCAATGTAAAAAAAAAATAAAGATCCTCACAACTGAATAATAAATAATATCATGATAAATGGTGAAAAAACAGAAGTTGTCAAAGACTGCATTTTGCTTGGATTCACAATCTACACTCATGAAAGCAGCAGTCAAGAAATCAAAAGATACATTGATGTATCACATTAGGAAAATGTGCTGCACAAGACCTCTTCAAAGTGTTCAAGAGCAAAAATATCAGTTTGAGGACTAAGGTGTGTCTGACCTAAGCCATGGTATTTTCAGTAGCCTCATATGCAAGTGAAAGCTGGACAATGAATAAAGAAGTCCATGAAAGAATAGATGCATTTGAATTATATAGTGTTGGAGAAGAATATTAAAAATACTATGGACTATCAGAAGAACAAACTAATCTGTATTGAAGAACACGCCTTAGAAGCCAAGATGGCGAGACTTTGTTTCTCATACTTGGGACATGTTATTAGGAGATGGAGTGACATAGTGGAAGCAGCAATGGGCTCAAACCTAACAACTGTGAAGAAGGCACAAGACGAGGCAGTGTTTCATCCTGTTGTGCATGACTTGGACGACACCTGATAACAGAAACAGAACAGCCCACAGTCCAAGTGCTTTATGCTCCTTACCTGCCCTCACCTACCTGGAAACTGCTCTCCCAGCAACCAAGTTGTTGGGGAGCATTGGGAAGAAGTGTATTCCTCATTGTCCTCACCTAGCCACTGGTCCCATTCTTCCAGAAGATGGTGCACTTGGGTCCCAGCCTGTCCCTCTCAATGATAAATCCCCATAATGTTACCTTGGTGGAGTAATTCTTATGCAGAGATACATTTTTGTCATTAGTTGCCATCAACAACATGTATAAGAGAAAGAAATGTTGTCTAGTCCTATCCCATCTTTAAAATCATAGGTTGGTTCAAGTCCATTGTTATGCCCACTGGGTATTTTAAGTTCCTTCTACCCTTGGAGGCTCACTTCCAGTATTCCAGGATGGACAATATCCTGGTGTGATCCATGGGGTTTTCACTGGCTAGTTTATGGAAGTAGAATGC